GAAAGTTTTATTTTTCGTTTTCTAATATCTTCAATTGAAAGTCTTGAAAACTAGTTATAGGTTTTCATGTAAATATACCAGTTTATTTGAGATATAAAATAATTTATAAGAATCTTTAATTATGCCCAGCACATCATTTATCTAAAGAGTTTTCTGTACGGCTGTATAAAGACGTTTATGATGATTCTCGAAGTTTATTGAGATATTGAATGATAACATGTTTTTTTTAAAAGACATTTCAAATAATCACCATGTCATAGTTAGTTTAGTTTATTTTCTCTCATTGATATTCATTAGAATGTAGATTAAAAACAAAATAAGAAGACTTCATATTCTGTTTCAAAAAAGGAATAAGCCGGTAGACTGAGATTTTAACAAAGTTATTATTACTTGTTCTTTGTTTAACTGATATGTTAGATATGAAATAATAAGATAGACATACATTTAATCAATATTAATCTCGTGTTAAATTTAGTAATTCAAAATAAAATATTTATTTTAGTTACCTGAAATAAATCTAAATGCTAAATTAATTTTATCACCATGTTCAATAAGTCAATAAGAATCAAAGCAAATTTAATATCCAACATAACAGCAAAACTTGCTTTAAATCTTCATATTGATGAAACAGCAACAAGTGGTTGAGATTGGGCTGATGATGAAGTACCAATTGAAGGTGATGACGATGATCTTAATAGAGAAAATCTTAATAATAATCAAGATGAACAAGATGAAGGTTGAGATGATACTGGAATTGAATTATCACCTGATCTTGTATGTTTTTATTCAAATATATAAATTATTGGTTTATTTAATAAATATTTTTAAATTTTTATTTTAATTATTAAGGCGTGATGCACGTTCACCAAAATTATTTTATCCAGCAGTTGGATTTAAATTAGGAAAATTAGTTGTACGTTGTGAAATCGCTTATAGTTTAACAAAAAAATGGAAAATTTCAAGGTCAACAATGAATTGAAATATGTAAAGAAAATATTGTTGATTTACAAATGTCAATGGCAAAAAAAAGATTTAGCAAAAGATAATGAAAAACGTTCATGTGAATTAGCTGCTGATTTTACTCATTTACAATTACAACCA